TGTCTTTACTAAAAAAGTGAAATGTATGTAATGTTTTCTAACTTTCATAATATGATAAAATCTTTGCATGTGAGTGTGCCTATATGTTTGTATTTGTGTCTTCTGACTTACACAACACAATTGTTTTGCAAGACGCAACATAACTTTTGACTTCGTATAAAAGACTATACTCTTACGTGAAAGTTAAAGTTGAGTAACATATCTTTTTCGAATAAATATATATAAAAAGGATTGTATGAAGAGAAAATTATGAAGAATTATTCTTTACATTCTCTCACGTGTTTTATGTAAGCTTACATTGTCCAACACTTATTTTATGAAAAAGAAAATTTTATTTGTCAGTTTTCAAAATCTTTTTGTATTAATTTTATATTTTCTCTGCCCGAGTTATTTTCTGATCTTTTATTGAAAAACATTGTTGTTCTCATATTCAAAAATAAATTCAAATACTTGTAAGTTTAACTTACTGAAGTTAAATGGTCTAGTCAGTTAGACTAGTGTATACTAGGAGTAGTGATATTCGTTTTAATTAGTTAGATTAATTGTAATACTAAAAAATGTTTAAATTCATGTAATCTTTTAAGATAAGTGAGAATGCTTAGGAGTATTGAAAAAGTTAGACATAATTCATTTAAAATTAAACCAATATAAAATTAAGCTTTATTGTTTTTGTTTTCAATTTTTTTTCTAAACACCGTTCAACTTATTTAAATGTTTAACATTTATGGTTGATCGTCTAAATTCTGTAAAAAAGTTTAAACACTTGTGAAAAATTTTAAAAATTTTATTCAAATATCCTTTTCTAGAGATTTTTTCTGTATTGCTAACTTAAATTCAATATAATAATAAAAATTATAACAGAGAAAATGATTTTTGCAAGTGGCTGAAAATACAATTTTTTTATAATTTTAATGAAACAAATTCATTATAGTTATGATTGAAATTCCTTCTTATGTTACCATTAATTATTTTAGAACTACTAACAGATTTAGTTTGATAAATTGACAATATTCGTTATTACATAACTATCAACAACTTTAGTTAATATTAATCTAAATGTAAAACTTAAATGAATAATTTGCCAAAAAGAGAATCCGAAGAATAATTAAGCCAGACGTTACAATTGGAGAAGAATTTAAAACCATAGTTATTGCGGGTAGGTTCAGTTGGAAGCACAGTATTGTGTTTAATCAATGTATTAGTCACTAATCTTCGCCGCCCAAAATAGTAACAGTCACGTCATATCGCAAACATTCATTAATAACTTTTTTTCCCAAATTCATCTCTCTTATTAATTATGGTTTCATGGATGGCTCACATGTCACCTATCGTTGTCATCTCCTTGTTGATAGTAACTCAACAGCTACTTAACACTTATAACGGTTAAAATAGATCACAATTCACGGGCTAATCCAACTCATCACAGGTTTAAGTCGGATTGAGTTTGAAAAAATTGTATCTTTTTTATGCGAGTTAGATTTCAATCCGGCTCATTTAAACTCGTCTCATACGGGTTGAACTTGTGGTGAGTCAGATTGGTCCACATTTTAATTTTATTTTATTAAAATTTAATTTTAATTTTATAAAAAAATATTTATTATTTTATTTTGCTTGAAAAAATTATTTAAGTTTCTTATTTTCAAAATTAATTAAACACGTATGTTAAGAGTGAAATTTGAGAGTGAAATTTGTTTAGATTTGAATTATAGAAAGTTTGTAATTTGTTTTAAAAAAAATTGTAATTAAGTAAGTCAGTGAGCCAACGCGTTTACCTACCAACCCGTGATGGATCGCAACCTGTGGTGAGCTGGACCGGATCAGGTGACCCGTTTTTACATCTCTATTAACAGTAACGTCCTTACATAACTGCCAAAATTCTTTCAGGATAAAACTTCCACATATTACCAATTATTCCACCTTTTCATTAATTGTCTAAATTATCTTTATTAATTATCACAATCTCATTCGATCATATTTCTCTACCACAAATTGAGTTTATTCATTGTCTTCTTGGAATAGTTTTTTAATATTTTATTTTTGGCTTAATATATATTTTGAGTCTCGATTTCCTTATTTCATAATTGTTTTATTAATTGTGCATATAATTGAGATAATTTGTGATATATATTAACTGTGAGATAGTTTGGTACGTTGTATTTTGTCAGTCTTTATTTAATGTGAGAATATGACCAAATATTTTTATATTTGAATATTGTAAACTTATGTGTAGAAAGTCGGAAAAGGAACAATTATTACTATGGAATTAATTTTTGTCTAATTTTTATTAATGTAGTTACATAAATAATTAGAAAGGATCAAAATAATTGTTTTAATTTATGTGTTTAAAGCTACTTGTCAAATAACATATGCTCCTCGTATTGGCCAAATGATTTATGTGTTTTTTTTTTTGCTTTTCTTTTCGCTTTCCTTTCGTTTCTCTATATTGTTTTTTTTTGTTCCTTCAAAACGTGACAAGACCTTTGTGTATATTGGAAAAGATGACTGTTGGGTCTAGGGTTAACAACATTTGACGTTATAGTTTTGTAAGAAAAATATTTTACTATTCATATGGATTACATCTTACAATATTTTCAATAAAAGTTAAAAGATAAAGTAAAAATATTGTATTTTTAACTAGTCAACATACTTTTGCTATGTTAATTAACATAATGGTGAAAACTTAGTACAGTATAAATGACTATTAATTACCGATATCAATATCTTAAAGCTTAATACTAATAAAACAAATAATATTAAAATATTATAGTTGAAATAAATAGTGTATCTCAAAAATATCATTATTAAACTAATTATTATTTATCGTTATCAACATGTTATGTAATAAAACGTAAAAAAAGAGAAAAAGTTTATCGTATAACAAAATAAAATCCTAAGTGAAAGAAGATAAGCAAAAGATTATATGATAAAATCTTAGCTTTTGTATAGTAGAATCTAAAAGAAAAATTTAATAAATACTTTAATAATAAAAGGAAATCTCTTTCTAAAAAACACTAGGAGTTAATAAAAAAAGCTTCTTAATACTAAGTGTATAAAATGATCACTTGATCAATAGAAGATCATATGGTTCTGTCATCTTGAAACTCCAAATAGTAGGTTGTCTAATCGAATAATCAGGTTAAACGAAGATTAATGCTAAGAATGATTACGTTAAAACTAAGCAAGATTATTACTAGTTGGACCATAATTGGACCATAATTGGACCGATGCTAATCTGAATTCTAAAATCTGTAGATACAAATTTGAGGTATTGTGGTAAGTTGATTTCATTCAATGCGCATTTATGGTTAGTATCGTCAAGTTCTTACTAACTTTGACATCAAAGTGTTTCTGCATATAAATCTATAGTTTGACTGAACAGCAGAAAGCATAGAGTAGAAGAGGAACTTTAACCTAAGCGTGGAATTGAAAGAACGGAACAACAAAAGAATTGACCTCAATTTCACAAACCGAAACACTAAGTAAATGTTTTAACCATACAAACAAACTTAAAACTATACATGTGTCAACAATTTAGATTGACCCAATTTTATTACTAATATTATCAGATTTTAATGGGATGAGTTCAAGTTTACAACATGAATAAACCAAAATGTTGAATAAAGTAGTAATGTAAGTAAAAATAATCCGTGACATAAGTTTTATCACTTTCTTTATTTGGTATAGTGACCTCTTGGGAAGAAGATGACAACTCAATAAACGAGGGAAGTAAGAATTTGTCTGCATATGATAAATTATTATGTTTCGCTTTCGAGTGTAGGAAATAACTGTCTTAGATAGTGATATATTTAATAATTCAAATTCCTTTCTCATTGTATATATCAGGGCTGACTTAATTCTTTTCCTAAAACATACAAAAAAACAAAACTAATTCAATCTAAACAACTTTCTTTTAAAATATATTACTTTAAACTTAAATTTACAACTAAAGTAATTGGATGGTTATAATAAATTTAATGTAATTGAATTAAATGTTTGTTTTATCCAAAAAGGCATCAACCTCAACTCACAAACATCCTTTAATTTTTATAATTTTAAAATCACTTTTTATAAATAAATAAATTAATTTCAAAGTCTTATTTAAAGCTCTATCGTATTGTTGGTAATGTCTGTTACTTCAATGATTTCGTGAGGTACTTATATATGTGTTGAATAAGATCATGCCCAACCCCAACTACACTTATGATAGGCCAATTCAAAAGTTTTTTTATTTTTTCTTGCTTCAACATTATTGAACTGCAAGTGGGATCCATATTTCAACCATAGGCACATTACAATAAAAAAATAAAAAAAAAAAATTATTGTTATTGATGGAATATGAATCAATTGATCTTCATCTTGGCTCAACCCGTTTAACCTGTGCGTTGGATTCAGTTTGATCTACATTTATAAAAGCTAAATTTCTTTTGATCCAATTCAATTCAAAAATGTGAGAAGTCGGACTATCCTATTTATACAAATTTTAACATCTTTACGTATCAATCCCAAAAAAAAAAGGTGTGGAAAGAAATTATTGGAGTGCAGGAATTAACTGCCTTGGCAAGAAGGTAAAAAAGCGATGAAGTGATAGCCCAATAATAGTATCTATGAATTGCTCTACTAAAAAAATGAAGCTTTAAAAAACAAGCACAGCCTAATGTATTTAATGTGCCTGGATAGGCCATGCTTAAAATCGTTATATATCATCAATGTTCTTAAAAGTATGATGCAATGAACAAAAGCCAATGTGGGCATACACACAAGCTCACAATGCCTTTTAAGAGTTTCTCATTTGAAATATTTTAAAGTTAAAACTTTTAATTCTGCATTCAAACAACTAATAATTAACTATTGGTGGAAGTATAAATTATAAGTTGTAAATCCGATATTTTTGAGGCCGAGATTACATGGACAAACTTGATATAAAGAAGACCTCGGTTTAATGTTGAATAGGAATAGATTGAAAAGAGGAGTTAGAAATTTGATGCAGAGAATTGATTGAAGTGGTTAAGCTATAAGAAGTCATTGTGAGTAGAGTTTGATATGTATCAGTATCATCATATATTGATGTTAATGGAATAGGCAGCAGGGATACATAATGTTTTAGGCAGACTCATCTGTTGGAGGAGCATAAACTGTTCTCAACCACCGTGACAGATTGATTAAGAATGGCGTATACACGAAGTAGCAAGTGAGTGTCCATGTAACCAGTCCCTGGCATGAGAAAGAGAAATCATCAACAAGTTCAAAATTTGATGAAAGGTTTAGAGGGAACTGTTTGAAAAAGATGCACCTGACCAAAGATTTCAATGTTGGGTTTAGGGTAATACCAAAGGTGGAAGAACCTGAAAGAAGTAAGTGCAAAAGAGAAACGACCATGCATATTTCAAATTCCAACTGGTCATACGAAGGAAAAGCAAACATTGAAAAGTAAGAGAGAAATTGTTTACTTCATAATTGGAACCTCAGCCAGTGGGCAAGCAAGGCCAACAATGCATGCCAAGGTGAAACCTAGCCATGTCCTATCCAACAAAAACCACATAAACTCTGCTGCAGCAAATAAAATGTAGGCCTCAATGTTCTCCGCCATTCCACCTTTGTAAAGTTCGGCACTCACTTCAATAAACAGCGCCAGCAATCTAGGACAAGACAACCTCAATTTATGAAAACATCATGATTGAGTAAGATTAAAATCATGTCACTTAATTAAATTAAGGACTAAAATGAAAGTTGAGATATTTATTGGACCCAAATCATATCTAACCCCGTACTTACGAATACGATTTTATTTTATTTTATTGTATAATGCAGCAGGTACTTACACGAGTGAGACAATTGTTTTTGCTAAACTTGCGTCTTGAACCTTGTTGAAGAACTTTTGGTCTAGGTAGAGTTGAAGCAAACCAACAGAGGAATAAAATAGCCCTAGCAAGAAAGGCACCTGTGAATTTGGATTTTGGAGAAGATGAATAAAAAAGCAAAGGCAATGAAGAAAGTGGAGAAAGAATGGTAGAGAAAATTGAAGTTGAAACCCACCCAGATGTTTGTGCGGAGTGGACCTATGTTAATGGAGCCTGAGTCGTAGACGACGAGATTGACCCTGGAATGGAGTCCATCGAGAAGGGGACCCAGTAAGAAGCCTGTGCCAAAAAGTGTGAGTGAGATTGAAGGCCATGAACTTCTCAGGTTTGTTGAGCTCTCTTTTCTCTTAGCACACTGCGCCTTAAGCAAACCCAATTTTCGTATTCTGGGAAGAGGGTAACTGTGGCGGAGGAGAGTATAAGCATGAACAGAGTAAGAGGAAGAGGAAGCACATGCAACCAGGTATTGCATCCTTATCCCTCTTTGCGATATTCAGACAAAGAAACAAAAACCATTCCTTAATTTTTTTTTTCACACAGCAAAGAGCAAAAAGAACACATGTTTTAATCTTTTTTATAAATAATTATAAAATGGAAAATAGTACTTCTTTTTTATAAATTGTAATTAACTTATAATCACTATATATCTAACAATTTTTAAAAAATTAATCTTATAATTTTAGAAATATACATTTTACTATCTTTGTTATATTCACAAACATAATAAAATTGAGATATTCTTTTTGTCCTGTAGAGAATAACTCAATTAACGTAAAGACTAATTTGACCAATAATTTCTATGTATCTAAAGTCATTTTTCCGTTTAAATGGTCCCTTTTTCTTCCACGACTGCCACGACTGTTCTCACTGAATGTTCACCCTTTTCTTCCCAAAACCTTCAACACTCCTGTCAATCTCAAGTTGGATAACGATAGCTTCTTAATATATACTCTGAGAAATAAGTATACTGACATCGGATTTAGCGGTTGGAAGTTAGATTAATATACACATGATATATATATATATATTTGAAAATTTTCCTAAAGTAATTAAATGTGAGGAAAAATCAATATTGACATTTTGGTAGATGAGATATCACTTACCATGTTAGAAATAAAGGTTTGTAATTTTTTTTTGTATCAAATGATAATTAATTTCATGAATAAATTTGTAATTAATTATCAAAATATATATTATATTAATGAATCAAATATTAATATAATTAAAAAATCATTGCATATATGAGAGAGAGCTTAGAAAAGCTATATGAGATAACGCATAAACTTAGACATAAATTAATTTCGTTTAATAGAAAAATAATTTTATTTTTCTATTTTGATAAAATTATATAAAATAACTTGTATAAGTTAGTTTTATACATGAACTCAATTTTAAAAAATGTTTATAAAGCAATTTTCTTAAACATAATTCATTAATTTGCTAATTAATATATTTACTTTTTTATCTTTATACAGTATTGCATATAATGTATATTGAATAAAATATATTAACATATTGATTACACATATGTGCCTAAATATTGTAAAAGTTATTTATTCAAAACAATGAATTTTAAGAGTGAAGATCTAGAGGTTTATCAAAGTTAGAGAACGAGTTTAGTCTTTAAACCTAATATAATAGGAGAAACATATCTTATGATAGAAACATATTATATATAAATCATCATCTATTAGATTATTAATATTATATTTATTTTGGTGTTAGACTTAATCCCGATTAAATTATTAGGTCTAATTTCGAAAGTTTAATTATTAGAACTATTTTCTATTATTATGAGTGAGTATATAAGGAGTCAAAAAACTTTGGAATAAATGATTGATGTTTTGTTACATGATAAGTTTTTATAAGAAAATATAATCTGATGATTGCATAAATAGATGGGAAAATGAAAAATCAATTAAAGGGATAAAAAAAAAGTAAGACAGAGCGACAAAGATACAAGAATGAAGTATAAGAGAGAAAAGTAAAATACAATGAATGTTCTAGTTCAAAAGTTTATATATTTTTGTACTAAAACATTTGTGTTAATTCTGATGGTAGTATTAGTCCCAACTTTAATCTTTATTTAACTTTATATAAGGAGGGAGCATAATAGAGAAAAATAGAAATGCTCTAACTTAAGAGTCTCCTTATATTTCGGCTAAAACATTTGTGTAGTGTTATAATCTAAAGACTATGGTTAGAAGGGATGTGTGGTGTTAGATCTAATTCCAAAGGTTTTGTTAGGTCCATTCCAGATTGTTATAACTAAATACTTCTGTCACATAATAAATTTTTGTCAAGGAATTATAATTCCTTATGATTGTATGACTAAAGGAAACAATGAAAAATGAATAAAAGAGATATGAAAAATCAAAGCGACAAGAATATGAGAAAACATAAGAGAAAAGAATAAAACACATTTAATACTTTGGTTTAGAACTCT